GTACCCCAGTATCACCTGTCGGAGCAAATCGATACCTTCGGAGACCTTCTCAACTTTGTGTCGCAGAGTCATACTCCCGAGTCTAGCCGACTGATGCAGTCCCGCAGGCAGGCAGCCCAGTGTACTACCGAGGGGAGGCGCAGATAACTGATAATGGTCACCATCATCATCGGCGGCATCGGGGGGCTTACTATACTGAGGCTTCGACTAGGTACGTAGTGCTGGCCGGAAGACATCAGCGAGGCCTCATCCTAAGGGTGAGGACAGTACTCATACTGAGGGCATAGACGATCGCGTGAGGTCTGCCCCCAGCCTACCAGGCCGTCAACTGACGCCTCTGTCCCGCCCTCACCATCCACCACCGATCCACTAGGGGTCAACATGAAGTGTTTCGGCCCTGCTAACCGATGGTCTGAAGTGAACATGTGGGATCCTCACAACGGCAGCTAGCCATACAGGAATCACTAGGGTCGTCAACCTTGGCTGCTTCGATAGGGGTTCTCACTGAGCCGTTGACGCTGCAGTCAGAGGGCTCTACCTGGCACTGCGACTGCTTTTGCGTATCGTTTCTGGCTGAGATCATTGGTAAGAGAGGCCGATTGTGATATCGCAATAAGGTCAGACAGCAACCTTCGCTGATCCGTAGCTTAGATATCTTCCCATATTCCCAGCGCGTGCTTGTGAAGTTGGACCCTTGCTCCGACTTCTCGTCTTTAAATTCAAACCTTTCACCTATCGTCGGTTCTTTGGAATAGTGAAAAGGCATCAACCGTCATCAGTGTGGCATGTCTGATCCCGCGAAGTGTGGTAGACTTACTCGGAAGAAGGTCTTCCGAGAAATATGCATGAACACGCAACCACACCACGAATGTAGTGCGTATTCTGGAGTAGCGTACGCCATTCTGATCGATACCGAAGTTGACGTGGTTACAGAACTCCTAGTGTCGGCTGGGTTTCTAGTGGAAGAAATCCCATAGACGCTGAGGATGGGAGAGGTATTGACCAAACCTCAACCCTGAAGCCCGAAAGCCGAGGTCTGGGTTTGGCAATACTGACCAGAGGATGAGTCAGCGAACTGATGTGAATAAGCTACCCGAGCATTAGTCACAGAGTCAAGTGCCTCATCTCTAGTCCCCCCAACTCGAACTAGCTCGCGTCTGCAGGATTTTGGAGTCCAGCGTTACATGCTATCAGTAGATTATCGTAACCGTTGCGGCTCGGTCCGCAGACGAGACTAGTTTGAGCCAACCCTGCATGAGGATATGCTCCCGGGCGGTAGCCTGCCGCCTGCGGGTCGTAGGATTTAACACCCGTTAACCTCATAGTGTATGACTCACATCGGTTGAACCTGACGCTCCTACTAGCTACGACTAGCTGCACCACGTTAGTAAGTGTTAGCTAGTTAACACAAGTTAAATACCGATACGGAGGGCGCGTCACACAGTGCGTCTCCGTCACACACGTGCATATCATCCGCGGTGCGTCCTCCACCCTTATCCAGGGTGCGTCGTGAAACGACCCGTGCGGGCGAACATCGTCGCAGCCTTACAGAACAAGACGGCGTATGCGGCATAATTGAAAGAAGTCATACACGGCATACGGTATCCCGTGTATGATTTCTTTCAACCCAGCCCGCCACTCCCGTGAGCAAGCATCGGTTGGTCGACCGTGCGCGGCGTCGCATCGCCGGCACGCGCCCGGCGGAGCGCAACGTGCGCGGCGCCAGCAGAGGCCCTCGTCGGACTAACGCGATGCTTCGAGGGCTGGCAGCCACAGACACCTTTTGTCTTCCAGCCCACCAGACCCACGCGCCCAGGAGTGGGATATTTAATATGGGCGGTGACATCGACCATCTATCAAGGTGTACGAACGCTGGGTGAGAGGTGAGCTTCCGAATCGCTTATACGTTATTGCTGCACACATACGCGTACCGTTCTCGCCTCACGCCGTTCGCAACTGGTAAGTTAATTTGGTATGACGGGAGGGGAGCCGAACACCGAGCTTGATTGATGGAAGGCACCCGTCTAGCGAACTACTTGGGACCACAACACTAATGCGCACTCATGAAACAGGGAAAGGAATCCATTTCTGACACAGATACAGTACTCCTTACGGTTTGCCTCAAGGACCTCTGTACCGTAATTCTCGTACACCGGCTACCCCTACATCGGCGACTGTTGCCCAACAAGAACCTAAATTCCTGCGAATCTCAGGCTCGATCCTGAGTGTGAATTGGAGTCCAATTATTGGACTCAAGTTGAGTCCAATTCACACTGGTTCACTCATGTTGAGTCACTCAACCGATCTGGGAGAGTTCCAGGTCGGCTGAGTCCGCCACGGCGAATGGGGGGCCCCCATAGCAGGGGACATGAGACGAACCCGACGATGTTTCCAAGCCTAACAAAAGGAAAAACTGTCACGACAAGTGTGCCCCAGCATACATTCTCCGGGCGACTCGCCCGGGCGAGGTCCCGGAAGTAGTCGGAGATGGCTTCTTATTAATGGATGCTTCCACAGCTGTTGGCTCCCTAGCCACAGCCTCAGCTCTCGAAAGGGAGTGGCACATAGCAGCGGTGTGCCCTGTCCTGCACAATGCATACAGGTGACCTTTTTACCAGCCAACGGCTTGAAATCGCTCCTGCTGTGCCCTGTTCGGCCACAGCCCAGACATCGTACCGAGAGATGAGCTGGGAGATCCTCCTAACAAGCCATGGCAGTATGGCCTATCTCTAGGCAATGAAAGCATCCGTTCTCACTGGATAGATGAGCATAATCTATCCGCATAGATTTGCTTCTAACATCGGAAAGAGTCGCAGCCGTAGCAGCCGCCGGAACCTGTCGTAGGGTAGGTTTGGAAACCAACCGATTCCGGGCGCGTGCACGGCTAAATTAGCCGGGCTGATGGGCCTTATACGAGCCCATTGTACTGACACACCGTCCAATCGATAGGAAAGAACCCAATCTGCGTATGGCTCTCGTAGATTATTGCAGAGACTATCCTAGATATCTCCGTCCGAAACGCAGACGCCACTAAGTGGCGTGTGCGAAGCGGGCCACTGAGTTGTCTTAATAAGTCTTATTCTCAATCTACTCACAATGTTGTCGAGCACTTGCAAATGATGAACTAGGTGTTAAGAAGGCCCTTGCGAGAGCGTGTTGAACTGTTGTCGAAGTGACACGACATCTGTAGGGTCAAAACAACGTTGGCGAAGCTCGGCTCTAAGAGATGCATATAGCTCCGAAGGCTTCCCCTGAGCCAAGTCACATGGTGGCGAGGCGTCACGCACAATGCTGTCGATGGAGTACAACAACACAAATAGGCCGTCCGTGACGACAGAGTCTGTCGGACAGACTGATGGCAACTTGATTCAGTAAGCTGCAAGGTAAGTAAGGTAAGGTAAGTTAATTCAGTAAGGTACTGTGAGCGTTCAATCGAAACCATATGCTCAGCCAAAGAGGGCCCATCACTGGTCACCTTCCATACCGAGTGCCCGCTAACAAAGTATCCCCATCGATTTCTGCCAAAAGTCTTGAAAGACGAATTCTTCTTCCTTGGAGCCATAACTTGTCCTCGGATGATTGTTGCAGATCAGGGATGAGAGACAACGTACTCGTAGAACGCAAGATACGATCGGCTGCTGACGAGGGTGTATACTACGCAGATGATAGGACCAACTGTATATAGTTATGTCAGCTACTTATAAAAGAACGAGAGGAAGTAAGATCGCAAGATTGAGTGTCCGATCAGCAACACTCCCCGGGCGGCCGAAGCCACATAATACTTCAAAAGATAGCAAAAATGGAGAAGAATATCGATGACTACTGATCAACAACATCAACTGCTGCGTTTACCTTCTTCAGGTTACCAATGTAATCAAATCTAACTTGGCCAACAGCATGAGTGATACCAGCGATCACTCCATTGATACGAGTCGGACTCGGCATGCTATCAAGTAACTCAAAATCAGCTAATATCGTAGTCAGAGCATCTCTATCAAGATTATTCTTTACTGGATCAAAGGCTGGATCGCTCTTGACTGTACGAAGTAAGCCAAATGGTACGTCGACACCGTTCAAGTGACTACGGAGTAGTCTCATGCTCGTCTTACGCCATGTACTAGTATCTTGAGCTTCAAAGTAAGCATCACCATCCACAAGACAGAGAGGTAATATCCGAATAGGAGTCTGATTGTTGCAGATCAGGGATGAGAGACAATGTACTCGTAGAACGAGAGATGCGATCGGCTGCTGACGAGGGTGTATACTACGCAGATGGTAGGACCAACTGTATATAGTTATGTCAGCTACTTATGAAAGAACGAGAGGAAGTGAGATAGCAGATTGAGTGTCCGATCAGCAACACTGTGCTTAGTTGGGGGGTTAAATCTTAAGGGTTCGCAAGAATGCAAGATACCCGTGACTTGGTAAATTTTTCAGTATCAACTGTCGGTGCTCAACTATGTCACCATCGAGAAAATGGCTTCGGACTTTTATTGAGACTAGGAATCCGCAGCTGAAGCATCTAGCTCTGGCGTATATTGGAATAGTTTTGGCTCTGATCCTTCTGGGAGAGGAACATTCAACTGAGGGGAGTTCTATAGTGTATAAGTCCATCAGCTAATTCTGAGTGCCTCAGAGTCCTCCAAAATAACAACTAGGAGTATCTCTCAATATCCACGACCTTACCAGATCGTTTCAAGTACACTCCAATACCGAAAATTTATGTTATTTCGATTTCCATTCCTATTGGCTCAATGGTTGCTTACACCGACACAATACACTCTTGCAGTCTCACAAACGATGAATGACCGCTGGAGAGTAGGGCACGTAGTCCTCCTGGTCTGTCTTTTTAAATCGCTGTGGCCTCGTATCGAGGATCTCCCTTGACCTCTCTGAAATTACGTGGATCTACTTCAACCTTTCCCCTTGTATTTACCTCAGCTCGCCACTACCATGACAACCTCTATTGTCGTGATGCAGTCTACCTTAGGCGTTTTGTAATGTTATCTACTATGAAAGGGCGAAGACAGGCAGCTGTCGAGAACGTCACTACAGTCCTCCACGACATAGTTCGAGTCGTCCCTGCAGTGTTCCGTCTACGAATCCGCAATGAGCACTCTACTCGAGAAGGCCCACGACGACGGCTGCGACATGCTAAGTCCTGGTTCTGGAGGCCACATGAGCCTACCAGTCAGCTCTCAACAACTGATGAGGATGAGGAAGAGGAAGACGACTTCGATTCAGCAGAGTCGTCCTTAGACACCTGTGACTTCTACACGTGTTTGACATCGGATATTCCTGATCTTGCTGAGCTTGATTCGTTCCCTGAGGCCCAGGAGCATACCCAGGAGCCTGAGGGGGACAAGCTTCTTCCCAAGGGAATAGAGAACTATGTAATATCACTGTAGTGCTCTACTGTGCGACCATCGTATAGACCATTATCGACTCATGTTTAACCTTAGATACCACCGACGCTGGTCGAAGGTTCAGGGCCCACCGAGCAGCGACATTTCTTCGGCTCGACGTTGATGGAGGATGGCTTGTGCCTCACTGAATTCGAGAAAGAACAGTTGGCTGCACTCCAGGCCTATTGGGCTGATAACTCCATTACTGATCCCTTGGAGGGCTCTGGACTCGAACGCTCTCACATTTTGAGGCTACTACAGGGGAATCATTGGGACCTGCCCAAAACCACTGCTGATCTGTACAGACTGCGCGAGTGCAAGGAAACGAGACTGCCATCGCTTTCCGAGGTGAGAGCCACTATAGAGACCGGAGTTATATATTGGCATGGCCGCGATAAGTACCTACGACCCATTCTGGTAGTGAGGCCGGGTATATACATCAGTGAGAATCTATCCTCTGACGACTGTGCTAAAGCATCAATCTACCAAATGGAGGTGTTAGAGCGACAGTTGACATCACCATTGCACGTAGAGCATCAAACGTGTTTGGTGGACCTTGAAGGGTGTTCAGCCTGGGCGTTCCCCATCAGCATGATGAGCCCTGTTATGAGTATAATGCAGACCATGTACTGTGCACGGCTCGGCCATATGTACGTTGTCAACATGCCACGAATGATGTACGCTTTCGCTAAGCTGGTTATGCGCCTCTTGGACCCTAGCACCACTAAGAAAATAGATATCTTTCATGGTGGTTTCGAAGAAGCCCTTTTGGAGACTATCAGTTCGGATGTCCTCGAGGCCCGTTACGGTGGTGACTGTGAAGACCAGGTTTCAGATTTCTGTGTTCCTCAGTTCATGACGTAAAGAAGGCATTCGTTTCATTACTGTCCTCGCGATGCCGCCTTTAGAGCGACAATAGTACCATCACTCTATACTTTCGCCACCACCATTATTTGCAGTTCTATGTAGTTCCTTCACTGTTGCGTTCGCGAAACACGGGCCATGGTTTACGAGAGAAATCAGAGCATACACTTCCTATGAGCTCTTGAAACACCAATCACGATCGTAGTTATTGGGCGTCGAAATTATGCATGTAGTTCAGGAGGGTTGTTATTGTGTACTTAGGATGATAAGGAAAGACTCCTGAACGACACATTGCTGTCGTTGATGGAATTAGTCTAGTCTGATGGTGATCAG